CACCTGGGCTTTGAGGTATTGGGATCTGACTTGAATTTTGGCACTTGGCTGGTTAACAACTATTTGTATTTCAGGAAGTTTTTAAAACTTCTCTAACCCCTAATTTTGCAAGGTTGTTGTAAGGAAAGTGTCTGAAACATAGTAAGTGTTCAATACATTTTAGTTTTCTTCCTTTAATCCACTGTGAAATAAATAACACAAATATTTAATATTTTGTATTAAGTAAAAGAAGTAGGACTGGAACTGTTTTTTGATTCCCAGCCCTAGAGGAATCTAGAAGTAATAATGACTTTAAACTGGGGTTAATTTGCCTACATTGGTATCTGAGAAATATTATTATTATTATTACTATTATTTTTTGCCCAAGCAGATCATCCCATTTGTATATTCTCTGTATTTCCTCTTCTCTAGTAGCCTCCTGTGGGAAACTGCTTCTCCTACCTTTCATTTATATGTTCTAAGAAGGACTGATAACCAGTCAACCCTTAAAGCCTTAATTCTAGAGAAACTAGGGAAAGCCTGAAACACATTTAAGTGATTGACAATCAGAGGGTGATTCTCCATTTTGTCCTTTTCCTAATTGTTGTATTTCATTTATAGGCAGTAGGAGGACACAATATTTTTGTCAGTGTACATCATGGAGAAATGAAAAAAATCAGCAATATAAGAGCAATTTAATATCTATCCTATCTAATAATAGACAAACATGGTAATTAACCATACCTCCGCTATGCTTCCCATTGGCTAATCAGCAGGATATGCAAATTAACTGCCAACCAAGATGGCGGCCAGCAGCCAGGCAGCTGAAGTGAACATGAGGCTTGCTTGCTCCAGTGATGGAGGAAGCCAAGGTTCCTTGCCTGCTACGGCCCAGCTCTGAGCTCCAGATGCAACAATGTTGCAATTATAGAAGCTAAACAAACCCCAGGTACCTGCTTTCATCCGCCAGCGGGCTCAGAGCTTAGAGCGGCCAGTGATGGCAACAGAGTTTCAATTATAGAAGCTAAATAAACCCAGATACCTGCTTTCAGCCAGCTACAGTCTCAGAGCTGGAGCTGGCTCTCAGCTCCAGTGATAGCTATAGAAGGTAAATAAATCCCAGAATAAAAATAAAAGAAAAAAAAAGAGGCTGGGAGCTTCAGTTGCCCGCCAGCCTGAAAATGGCCCTCAGCCCCTCACCCAGACTGGCCAGGAACCCCAGTGGGGACCCCTACCCTGAAGGGGGTGTGACCAGCTGCAAACAGCCATCAGCCCGTCATCCAGGCTGGCCAGGCACCCAAGCGGGACCCCCACCCTGATCCGGATCATCCTTCAGGGCAAACCAGCCGGCCCCCACCCGTGCAGCAGGCCTCTATCCTATATAGTAAAAGGGTAATATGCAAACTGACCCTAACAGCAGAAAGACTGGGAATGACTGGTCACTATGACACACACTGACCATCAGGGGGCAGATGCTCAATGCAGGAGCTGCCCCCTGGTGGTCAGTGCGCTCTCACAGTGGGGAGCTCTCCTCAACCACAAGCCAGGCTGATGGCTGCCAGTACAGCGGTGGTGGTGGGAGCCTCTCCTGCCTCCTCAGTAGCGCTAAGGATGTCTGACTGCAGCTTAGGTCTGCTGCCTGCTGGCAAGTGGGCATCCCCCAAGGGCTGCCGGGCTGCCAGAGGGATGTCTGATTGCCAGCTTAGGCCCAATCCCTTGGGGAGCAGGCCTAAGCCAGCAAGTGGGCACCCCCAAGGGGTCCCAGACTGTGAGAGGGCACAGGCCGGGCTGAGGGACCCCCCCCCCCCAAGTGCACAAATTTTTGTGCACCGGGCCTCTAGTGTATATATAAACGCTTAAGCGACCATCACAACCGAATGGACAACCGAACAGGCTGCATGGAGTGACCAGGCTGGCAGGGGGGTTAGTGAGGGATGACCAAATGACTGAGCAGCAGGCTGCAAAGATGGTGGTGCCCACAGCCAATAAGGAGGGAATATGCTAATTGACTGCCATGCCCTCAAAGATGGTGGTGCCCACAGTCACAAGATGGCCGGCAGGTGAGGGCAGTTGAGGGCGACTGGGCTGGCAGGGGAGGGCAGTTGGGGGTGATCAGGCTGGCAGGGGAGTGGTTAGGGGGTGATCAGGCAGGCAGGCAGGCAAGTGGTTGGGAGCCAGCAGTCCCGGTTTGTGAGAGGGATGTCTGAACTACCGGCAGTTGGACATCCCCTGAGGGGTTCCAGATTGGAGAGGGTGCAGGCTGGGCTGAGGGACCAATGCCCCACGCCCTCCCCCCCCCCCTCCATCCCATGCATGAATTTCATGCACTGGGCCTCTAGTATTTAAATAATCTTTAGGAAATGGACATGTTTCCCTTGCAAATTCCATACTTTCTTGTGCTAGGTAGCTTCATAATACTAAGGGAAAACTTGTAAACTTCTATTGGTAACTCTGTGTACTTGTAAGCAGAGCTTTAATCACTTTCGCTTACTATGCTTTCCAAAGATTCTATATAATAAGAGCCTAATATGCAAACTGACCGAACAGTGGAACGTCCAGTGGAACGACTGGTCGCTATGACATGCACTGACCACCAGGGGGCAGACGCTCAACACAGGAGCTGCCCCCAGCCCACAGGGCCAGGCAGGCCAAGGCGGGTGCCAGCAGGGCCCCCTCTTCTCTTCTGCCCCCTCCCCCTGCCTTGATCTCCCTGCTGGTTGCCCCTCAGATTGGCCCTGATTGCCAGCCAAGCCTAGGGACCCTACCCATGCATGCTTTTGTGCACCGGGCCTCTAGTTAGATAAGATGTAGCTTAAAATAGGTTTCAGACTCCTACTTGTGTGCACGAGTTTTAGTTTTATATCCTACATAAGAGTAAAATCATATAGTTCTTAGTTTTTTTTCCTGACTTATTTGACTGAGCATAATATTCTCAAGGTCCATCCATGTTGTTGCAAATGGGAGTTTTTCATCTTGTCTTATGGTTGAGTAACATTCTGTTGTGTATATGTACCATATCTTCTTTTTTTTTTAGAACAAATATTAAAAAAAATATTTTTATTGATTTCAGAGAGGAAGGGAGAGAGAGAGAGAGAGAGAGAGAGAGAGAGAGAGAGAGAGAGAGAGAGACATCAATGATGAGAGAGAATCATTGATTAGCTGCCTCCTAATGCCCTACACTGGAGATCTAGCCCGCAACCCAGGCATGCACCCTGACCAAGAATCGAACCGTGACCTCCTGATTCATAGATTGACACTCAACCACTGAGCCATGCCTGCTGGGCTGTGTCACATCTTCTTTATCCAATCCTCTGTCGAAGGATACCTTCGATTGTTGGTTGTCTCCATGTCTTGGCCACCGTGAATAATGCTGCAATGAACATAAGGGTGCATATATCTTTGCGAATACATTTTTCAAGTATATACCCAGAAGAGGGATTGCTGGGTCATATGGTAGATCTGTTCTTAATTTTTTGAGGAATCATCAGACTGTTTTTCATAGTGGCTGTACCAGTCTACAGTCCCAGCAGCGGTAATTGAGGGTTCCCTTTCCTCCACAACCTCTCCAACACTGAGGGAAGGGGGTAGAGAGCTGGGGGCTAACGAGGGCCTAATATATGATGATAGACGATTATTTGACTTTGGGTGTTGGGCACACAGTGCAATATACAGATTTTATAATGTAGAAATCCACACCTGTAACCTATATGATCTTATTAATCAATGACAGCCCAATAAATTTAATTAAAAAAAAAAGGTTTCAGAGTCTGTGTGAATGGCCCTTCAATAGTGCCAAAGTTTATTATTAGTGAGGCAGATGCCCTCTGCTGGCTTGATTCATTTTCAATCAAATCTAATTTTGCCTGAATCTTCTTCTTTTACTGTTTTTTCACTTTCTCTTGCCCATTGCCCCTAAGCTTATATGTAGACTCACCACTGATTGCATTAGAGTGGTCAACACAGGTTTCACTCAGCATGTATTATTATTATTGCTTTTAAAAAATATTTTTATTGATTTCAGAGAGGAAGGGAGGAGAGAGAGATAGAAACCGGGAATCGATCCATAACCTCCTGGTTCATAGGTTGACAGCTCAACCACTGAGCCACCCTGGCTGGGGGAGCATGCAGTATTTTTTTTTAATTGAATTTTATTGTTTAAAGTATTACAGATAGTAGTACATATGTCTCTTTTTTTTCCCCATTGACCTTTCCCCAGCCTCCCATACCCCCCGGCACATGCCCTCATGCCACCCCCTCTCCCCCGCCCAGTGTCTTGTGTCCATTGGTTATGTAGTATTATTTTAGATCTTTTCTGGTTATAAAAAACACCTGGAACATTTACATTTCAATAAGCAACCGATGCATGCCAGGTGTCTAGTACACACTGACCTTCAAGTTCCCACATTCAAAGGTCATTTTTATCTAGAAAGTTTGAAGAAAGAAGAATTTTATCTTTGTTTCTCCTAATTTGGCCACTGAAATCCAGGCATGTGTCCCCACCAGGAATTGAACCTGCAACCTTTGGGTGCACAGGATGATGCCCATCCAACTGAGCTAGCCAGGGCAAGGACTATATTTTTAATCATTTTTCTTCGACTGGAAAATTCAGGACACGATTAGCCTCCACTGCCATTAGCCTCCATTGGCAGTGATATTTCAATTAATATCTTTGACAGAGAGAGTTTGTGGTGCATGACTCATTTCCAGAGCTTGGGTTGTCTCAGGGTATAGCGCTTAGGACTATGTTTGATGATTGCTGTGATGATCATTATTAACAAAGCATCTGAGGTCAACCCATCAGTATAAAGAATTTCTTTCTGTAAATGCTTTGGACAGTAATTACATTGAGGAAAAGATGAGATCAGGTGTAATTAAGTTTATTGAGTTTTGCCTTCTTTGAATTCCCTATTGTTGGTATCTGATGCTTTACTGCCATCTAGGTGTTCGGAGGTGGAAGGAAATGTGCATCTGACCTCATGACAGGGATCTTTGTGTTTGTGAGGATGAAAGAGAAGCAAAACTGTAACTTGATGAAAAGTTTATTGTCAATTATTTGCAGTACAATTTTCTGGATCCTATATCCAGGAGGTCATGAGAATAAATTCAAAAGTAGTAGTACAGAGTTCCAGAGGTGGCACAAAAGAAGCAATTCTTCTGAATCTTCAATACCACAAAATTCTTTGCTTAGTACATGGAATATGTTACAATGCTATTAGAGAAAATTTGGCTCCTGAACCATGTCTCTTAGCTTTCTGCATAGGTTTGTCAATGAATACTTGAAATAAAACTGGAAAATCTAAAATTTGAATTTCAGAAAAAAAATTTTAAATGCCCATTTTATCCCAAAGCACGCAAATCACTTTTGTCATATAGTATTAAATATAGTCCCAAATGCCATTTAGTTCTTCCATTCACTGTTTTTCAGCCAAAGAGCTCAATAGTTAAGGAGCCTTACAAAAAAACCACTTTGCACCGAACAAAAGAGTAGCACAGTTAAAATATGTATACCTCCACTACCAAAAGAAGGGATCACGTTAAATATCTTAATTGCATGTGTATGGAATTTCTTCTTTGAGTTAGTTCTTATTTTAAGTTAGTTTTCTATTAACTTCAAATGATTATTCAAAGTAATAGTACTTTTGCTCTTGGATATATTGATAGAGTGGGGTGTTGCTATCTAAATGAGAAGGACCTACGTCTGTTCTTCCCCTTCTATGGTAACCCCTGGTTTCAGAGTCTCTTGCTTGCTTATCATCCATATGCTGACTGTGTCTTCTGATGCTCCCTAACATCCTTGATCCTGACTCTTGCTTTTGCTTACCCCCGCTCCATCCAGTTGTACTGCTTGATGAATACCTATATCTATACTCCTCAGTTCCTGTGTGATCTTGGTTCTGAAGAGAGTGACTGGAAATGGATCTTTCACTTCTGCTTCTGCTGTCACTTGCCTGTCCATAGCTATCACTTGAATGGCCATGGCTATATACTTGCCTTTCATTGGTATTGAATCCAGATTGATCCTGGACATCTCTGGATTGTCCATGACTTGATCCCTGTCTTGCTAAACTTATGCTGGATTCTACCTGATCTTGAGAAGATGTATCTCCGAAATGCTGTTGACTGGATCCATGTATATCAATTGTATTGAAGTCTGACTGTCTGTGCCTAGATCCTGATTGTTTATTAATCTGTTTCCCCCAATCTTCTGAACGCACTTTACTATTATTATGGGATCCCTGCCTAAAAGTTGAACTAGATTCAGAATGACTGTGAACTGACACTTGCTTGTTTTCAGTTCTGTTCCTTGGCCTAACAGGGCTAGAATTGTGACTGCTTGTTCGACTACCCCCTGAAGGTCCATACCCAGATTTCCCATAGTCATATCCTGCACTTCCATAGCTACCGTGTCTCCATCTTTGACTTGATCGATGATTTTGTCTTCCTGCTGCCTGCCCATGTTTGTTGGTGTGTCCTGACTGTCTGTGAGCCTGGCCATGACTGGACCCTGAGTGTCCCTGTGAGCCTCCAGAATGCCATTCACTGCCACTGGACTCACTGCGACTAGATCTCCTTCTTCCACTTCTGCCAGATCTTGACTGTGAGGAATGCCCATGACCTGCCTGCCCATGTTTGTAGGTGTCTCCTGACTGTCCGTAAGCCTGGCCATGACTGGACCCTGAGTGTCCTTGTGAGCCTCCGGAATGCCTTTCACTGCCACTGGACTCACTGTGACTAGATCTCCTTCTTCCACTTCTGCCAGATCCTGACTGTGAGGAATGCCCATGACCTGCCTGCCCATGTTTGTAGGTGTCTCCTGACTGTCCGTAAGCCTGGCCATGACTGGACCCTGAGTGTCCCTGTGAGCCTCCGGAATGCCTTTCACTGCCACTGGACTCACTGTGACTAGATCTCCTTCTTCCACTTCTGCCAGATCTTGACTGTGAGGAATGCCCATGACCTGCCTGCCCATGTTTGTAGGTGTCTCCTGACTGTCCGTAAGCCTGGCCATGACTGGACCCTGAGTGTCCTTGTGAGCCTCCGGAATGCCTTTCACTGCCACTGGACTCACTGTGACTAGATCTCCTTCTTCCACTTCTGCCAGATCCTGACTGTGAGGAATGCCCATGACCAGCCTGCCCATGTTTGTAGGTGTCTCCTGACTGTCCATGAGTAGTTCCCTGTCCCCCTCTACCAGAGGATCCCCACTCTCCATGCTGAGATCCAGCCTGGCCATGACTGGACCCTGAGTGTCCCTGTGAGCCTCTGGAATGCCATTCACTGCCACTGGACTCACTGCGACTAGATCTCCTTCTTCCACTTCTGCCAGATCTTGACTGTGAGGAATGCCCATAACCTGCCTGCCCATGTTTGTAGGTGTCTTCTGACTGTCCGTAAGCCTGGCCATGACTGGACCCTGAGTGTCCCTGTGAGCCTCCGGAATGCCTTTCACTGCCACTGGACTCACTGTGACTAGATCTCCTTCTTCCACTTCTGCCAGATCTTGACTGTGAGGAATGCCCATGACCTGCCTGCCCATGTTTGTAGGTGTCTCCTGACTGTCCGTAAGCCTGGCCATGACTGGACCCTGAGTGTTTCTGAGAGCCTCCGGAATGCCTTTCACTGCCACTGGACTCACTGTGACTAGATCCCCTTCTTCCACTATGGTATTCTGAGCTGGATTGGCCTGTTTTAGACCCATGCTGGTCAAAGCCAGAAGATTGACCTGAACCAGATCTACGTTTTCCAGAGCTAGAGGAGTGTGCTAAACCTGATTGTTGATGGTCAAAGCCAGAAGACTGAGTTGAACCTGACCCATATTGGCCATAGCCAGAAGACTGACCTGAACCAGATCCCTTTTGTCCAAAGCCTGAGGACTGACCTGAGCCAGATCCGTGTTGACCATGGCTGGATGACTGACCTGAGCAAGATCCATGTTGGCCATAACCAGAGGACTGACCTGAGCCAGATCCATGTTGGCCATAACCAGAGGACTGACCTGAGCCAGATGCATGTTGGCCATAACCAGACGACTGACATGAACCAGAACCATGTTGTCCATAACCAGAAGACTGACCAGAGCTAGACCCATGTTGTCCAAAACCTGAGGACTGACTTGAGCCAGAACCATGTTTTCCAAAACCAGATGACTGACCTGAACTAGACCCATGTTGTCTAGAGCCTGAGGACTGACCTGAGCCAGATCCATATTGACCATGGCCAGATGTCTGACCTGAGCTAGACCCGTGTTGTCTAGAGCCTGAGGACTGACCTGAGCTAGACCTGTGTTTTCCAGAGCCTGAGGACTGACCTGAGCCAGACCCATGTTGTCCAAAACCAGATGACTGACCAGAGCTAGACCCGTGTTGTCTAGAGCCTGAGGACTGACCTGAGCCAGATCCATATTGACCATGGCCAGATGACTGACCTGAGCTAGACCCGTGTTGTCCAAAGCCAGATGACTGACGTGAGCTAGACCTGTGTTTTCCAGAGCCTGAGGACTGACGTGAGCTAGACCTGTGTTTTCCAGAGCCTGAGGACTGACGTGAGCTAGACCTGTGTTTTCCAGAGCCTGAGGACTGACCTGAGCTAGACCTGTGTTTTCCAGAGCCTGAGGACTGACTTGAGCTAGACCCATGTTTTCCAAAACCAGATGACTGTCCAGAGCTAGACCCGTGTTGTCCAAAGCCAGATGACTGACCTGAGCCAGATCCATATTGACCATGGCCAGATGACTGACCTGAGCCAGATCCATGTTGTTCAAAACCAGATGACTGACCAGAGCTAGACCCGTGTTGTCTAGAGCCTGAGGACTGACCTGAGCCAGATCCATATTGACCATGGCCAGATGACTGACCTGAGCCAGATCCATGTTGTCCAAAACCAGATGACTGACCAGAGCTAGACCCGTGTTGTCTAGAGCCTGAGGACTGACCTGAGCCAGATCCATATTTACCATGGCCAGATGACTGACCTGAGCCAGATCCATGTTGTCCAAAACCAGATGACTGACCAGAGCTAGACCCATGTTGTCTAGAGCCTGAGGACTGACCTGAGCTAGATCCATTTTGACCATGGCCAGATGACTGACCTGAGCTAGACCCGTGTTGTCTAGAGCCTGAGGACTGACCTGAGCTAGATCCATATTGACCATGGCCAGATGACTGACCTGAGCTAGACCCGTGTTGTCCAAAGCCAGATGACTGACCTGAGCTAGACCTGTGTTTTCCAGAGCCTGAGGACTGACGTGAGCTAGACCTGTGTTTTCCAGAGCCTGAGGACTGACGTGAGCTAGACCTGTGTTTTCCAGAGCCTGAGGACTGACTTGAGTTAGACCTGTGTTTTCCAGAGCCTGAGGACTGACCTGAGCCAGATCCATATTGACCATTGCCAGATGACTGACCTGAGCCAGATCCATGTTGTCCAAAACCAGATGACTGACCAGAGCTAGACCCATGTTGTCTAGAGCCTGAGGACTGACCTGAGCCAGATCCATGTTGACCATGGCCAGATGACTGACCTGAGCTAGAGCCGTGTTGTCCAAAGCCAGATGACTGCCCTGAGCTAGACCTGTGTTTTCCAGAGCCTGAGGACTGACGTGAGCTAGATCTGTGTTTTCCAGAGCCTGAGGACTGACCTGAGCTAGACCTGTGTTTTCCAGAGCCTGAGGACTGACTTGAGCTAGACCCATGTTTTCCAAAACCAGATGACTGTCCAGAGCTAGACCCGTGTTGTCTAGAGCCTGAGGATTGACCTGAGCCAGATCCATGTTGTCCAAAACCAGATGACTGACCAGAGCTAGACCCGTGTTGTCTAGAGCCTGAGGACTGACCTGAGCTAGACCCGTGTTGTCCAAAGCCAGATGACTGACGTGAGCCAGATCCATATTGACCATTGCCAGATGACTGACCTGAGCCAGATCCATGTTGTCCAAAACCAGATGACTGACCAGAGCTAGACCCGTGTTGTCTAGAGCCTGAGGACTGACCTGAGCCAGATCCATATTGACCATGGCCAGATGACTGACCTGAGCCAGATCCATGTTGTCCAAAGCCAGATGACTGACCAGAGCTAGACCCGTGTTGTCTAGAGCCTGAGGACTGACCTGAGCTAGATCCATATTGACCATGGCCAGATGACTGACCTGAGCTAGACCCGTGTTGTCCAAATCCAGATGACTGACCTGAGCTAGACCTGTGTTTTCCAGAGCCTGAGGACTGACGTGAGCTAGACCTGTGTTTTCCAGAGCCTGAGGACTGACTTGAGCTAGACCAGTGTTTTCCAGAGACTGAGGACTGACTTGAGCTAGACCTGTGTTTTCCAGAGCCTGAGGACTGACCTGAGCCAGATCCATATTGACCATGGCCTGATGACTGACCTGAGCCAGATCCATGTTGTCCAAAACCAGATGACTGACCAGAGCTAGACCCGTGTTGTCTAGATCCTGAGGAATGACCTGAGCCAGATCCATATTGACCATGGCCAGATGACTGACCTGAGCTTGACCCGTGTTGTCCAAAGCCAGATGACTGACCTGAGCCAGATCCATATTGACCATGGCCAGATGATTGACCTGAGCCAGATCCATGTTGTCCAAAACCAGATGACTGACCAGAGCTAGACCCGTGTTGTCCAGAGCCTGAGGACTGACCTGAGCTAGATCCATATTGACCATGGCCAGATGACTGACCTGAGCTAGACCCGTGTTGTCCAAAGCCAGATGACTGACCTGAGCTAGACCTGTGTTTTCCAGAGCCTGAGGACTGACGTGAGCTAGACCTGTGTTTTCCAGAGCCTGAGGACTGACTTGAGCTAGACCTGTGTTTTCCAGAGCCTGAGGACTGACTTGAGCTAGACCTGTGTTTTCCAGAGCCTGAGGACTGACCTGAGCCAGATCCATATTGACCATGGCCAGATGACTGACCTGAGCCAGATCCATGTTGTCCAAAACCAGATGACTGACCAGAGCTAGACCCATGTTGTCTAGAGCCTGAGGACTGACCTGATCCAGATCCATGTTTACCATGGCCAGATGACTGACCTGAGCTAGACCCGTGTTGTCCAAAGCCAGATGACTGACCTGAGCTAGACCTGTGTTTTCCAGAGCCTGAGGACTGACGTGAGCTAGACCTGTGTTTTCCAGAGCCTGAGGACTGACCTGAGCTAGACCTGTGTTTTCCAGAGCCTGAGGACTGACTTGAGCTAGACCCATGTTTTCCAAAACCAGATGACTGTCCAGAGCTAGACCCGTGTTGTCCAGAGCCTGAGGACTGACCTGAGCCAGATCCATGTTGTCCAAAACCAGATGACTGACCAGAGCTAGACCCGTGTTGTCTAGAGCCTGAGGACTGACCTGAGCCAGATCCATATTGACCATGGCCAGATGACTGACCTGAGCCAGATCCATGTTGTCCAAAACCAGATGACTGACCAGAGCTAGACCCGTGTTGTCTAGAGCCTGAGGACTGACCTGAGCCAGATCCATATTGACCATGGCCAGATGACTGACCTGAGCCAGATCCATGTTGTCCAAAACCAGATGACTGACCAGAGCTAGACCCGTGTTGTCTAGAGCCTGAGGACTGACCTGAGCTAGATCCATATTGACCATGGCCAGATGACTGACCTGAGCTAGACCCGTGTTGTCTAGAGCCTGAGGACTGACCTGAGCTAGATCCATATTGACCATGGCCAGATGACTGACCTGAGCTAGACCCGTGTTGTCCAAAGCCAGATGACTGACCTGAGCTAGACCTGTGTTTTCCAGAGCCTGAGGACTGACTTGAGCTAGACCCATGTTTTCCAGAGCCTGAGGACTGACTTGAGCTAGACCTGTGTTTTCCAGAGCCTGAGGACTGACTTGAGCTAGACCTGTGTTTTCCAGAGCCTGAGGACTGACCTGAGCCAGATCCATATTGACCATGGCCAGATGACTGACCTGAGCCAGATCCATGTTGTCCAAAACCAGATGACTGACCAGAGCTAGACCCATGTTGTCTAGAGCCTGAGGACTGACCTGAGCCAGATCCATGTTGTCCAAAGCCAGATGACTGACCAGAGCTAGACCCGTGTTGTCTAGAGCCTGAGGACTGACCTGAGCCAGATCCATATTGACCATGGCCAGATGACTGACCTGAGCTTGACCCGTGTTGTCCAAAGCCAGATGACTGACCTGAGCCAGATCCATATTGACCATAGCCAGATGACTGACCTGAGCCAGATCCATGTTGTCCAAAACCAGATGACTGACCAGAGCTAGACCCGTGTTGTCTAGAGCCTGAGGACTGACCTGAGCCAGATCCATATTGACCATGGCCAGATGACTGACCTGAGCCAGAACCATGTTGTCCAAAACCAGATGACTGACCAGAGCTAGACCCGTGTTGTCTAGAGCCTGAGGACTGACCTGAGCTAGATCCATATTGACCATGGCCAGATGACTGACCTGAGCTAGACCCGTGTTGTCTAGAGCCTGAGGACTGACCTGAGCCAGATCCATATTGACCATGGCCAGATGACTGACCTGAGCTAGACCCGTGTTGTCCAAAGCCAGATGACTGACCTGAGCTAGACCTGTGTTTTCCAGAGCCTGAGGACTGACGTGAGCTAGACCTGTGTTTTCCAGAGCCTGAGGACTGACTTGAGCTAGACCTGTGTTTTCCAGAGCCTGAGGACTGACCTGAGCTAGACCTGTGTTTTCCAGAGCCTGAGGACTGACCTGAGCCAGATCCATATTGACCATGGCCAGATGACTGATCTGAGCCAGATCCATGTTGTCCAAAACCAGATGACTGACCAGAGCTAGACCCGTGTTGTCTAGAGCCTGAGGACTGACCTGAGCCAGATCCATATTGACCATGGCCAGATGACTGACCGGAGCTTGACCCGTGTTGTCCAAAGCCAGATGACTGACCTGAGCCAGATCCATATTGACCATGGCCAGATGACTGACCTGAGCCAGATCCATGTTGTCCAAAACCAGATGACTGACCAGAGCTAGACCCGTGTTGTCTAGAGCCTGAGGACTGACCTGAGCCAGATCCATATTGACCATGGCCAGATGACTGACCTGAGCTAGACCCGTGTTGTCTAGAGCCTGAGGACTGACCTGAGCCAGATCCATATTGACCATGGCCAGATGACTGACCTGAGCTAGACCCGTGTTGTCCAAAGCCAGATGACTGACCTGAGCTAGACCTGTGTTTTCCAGAGGCTGAGGACTGACTTGAGCTAGACCTGTGTTTTCCAGAGCCTGAGGACTGACCTGAGCTAGACCCGTGTTGTTTGAAGCCTGAGGACTGGCCTGACCCAGACTTGTGTTGTCCAAAGCCTGAAGACTGACCTGAGCCAGTTCCGTGTTGACCATGGCTGGATGACTGACCTGAGCCAGATCCATGTTGGCCATAACCAGAGGACTGACCTGAGCCAGCTCCATGTTGGCCATAACCAGAGGACTGACCTGAGCCAGATCCATGTTGGCCATAACCAGAGGACTGACCTGAGCCAGATCCATGTTGGCCATAACCAGAGGACTGACTTGAATTGGACCCATGTTGTCCAAAACCTGAGGACTGACTTGAGCCAGACCCATGTTTTCCAAAGCCAGATGACTGACCTGAGCTAGACCCATGTTGTTTGAAGCCTGAGGACTGGCCTGAACCAGACTTGTGTTGTCCAAATCCTGAGGACTGGCCTGAGCCAGATCCTTGTTGGTCATGGCCAGACGACTGACCTGAACTGGACCCATGTTGTCCAAAGCCTGAGGATTGACCTGAGCCAGATCCATGTTGGCCATAACCAGAAGTCTGACCTGAACTGGACCCATGTTGTCCAAAACCTGAGGACTGACCTGAGCCAGACCCATGTTGTCCAGAGCCTGAGGACTGACCTGAGCCAGACCCTTGTTGACCACAATTAGAAGACTGACTTGCTCCAGACCCATATTGGCTACCACAAGAGGACTGTCTTGATCTTCTTCCCCGTTGACCACAATTAGAAGACTGACTTGCTCCAGACCCATATTGGCTACCACAAGAGGACTGTCTTGATCTTCTTCCCCGTTGACCACAATTAGAAGACTGACTTGCTCCAGACCCATATTGGCTACCACAAGAGGACTGTCTTGATCTTCTTCCCCGTTGACCACAATTAGAAGACTGACTTGCTCCAGACCCATATTGGCTACCACAAGAGGACTGTCTTGATCTTCTTCCCTGTTGTCTTCCACAGCTCTGTGGTTGACAACAGTTCTGTGGTTGACAACATGCCGGGGATCTATGTCTTCTTCTATGACAAGAAGATGGGCTACAGGAGCGAGGCCTACATTGGCCATATCCAGAGGACTGACCTCTTGAGATGCATCTCTGGCCTTGTCCTCCACTATTTCGTGATTGACAACCTGACTGAATACAGCTAGATTTATTTCCTTGCCCTCTGTATCTGCCTGCCTGACAGGAGCTGGAAACATTTTGTCTTCCTCCACACCCACTTGAGTTGATGGAATCACATGCATAGCTTTGTCTCCCACTATCTCCTGAACCTTTAGAGCTAAAAGCAATAGCCTCTAATCCATATGACAGACCATCATGACCTTTTCTTTCCCAGCTCTTAAATCCAGATTCAGATTCATATTCCTCCCCAGATCCCCTAGAGGGGCTAACTGAGTGGCCAGAGCTAGACCCATGGCGCCTTTTCTCAAATCCCTCTTGTTTCTCTGAGCTAGATACACTACCTTCCCTTCCCAGCCTTCTGGAGTGGGACTTATGTCTATGTTTCGCAGTTCCCCTCAAGCCCTCAGAACCATCCTCCTCTCCCTCACTCCAACTTGAATTTCTAGAACCTGATTTCTGTTCAGATGTATTCTCATCTTCTTCTTCTGTTTCACCTTCTTTCTTTTGGTGCTGGTGACCATGTCTACGCTTCTGCTTCTTTGACCCTGAAGTTTTGCAGTATTCTTTGCTAAGAACGTTGTTGCAGGCCATAGCCAGCTTGAATACCATCAGAAGAAACTCAGTAAAGTCCAGTCTTCGGTCATGATCTCGATCCAGCATATGCATAATGACCTCCACCGTGTCTGGATTATCTGGGTTCTGTATATGAGCAACACACCAAAGGAATCTTGATCAGCCTAACCCACATACTCAGCTAAAATATTCAGATAGGACTACGAAATTGTAGATATTTGACATGAAGTATTTTAATCCAATCAAGGATTGCTTTAGGCTAAGGCAGACTAATAGGACCCAGCAGGTGTGAAGAAGTAATTTAAAAAAATAGCCGAAACCGGTTTGGCTCAGTGGATAGAGCGTCGGCCTGCAGACTGAAGGGTCCCAGGTTCGATTCCGGTCAAGGGCATGTGCCTGGGTTGCGGGCACATCCCCAGTGGGAGATGTGCAGGAGGCAGCTGGTCGATGTTTCTCTCTCATCGATGTTTCTAACTCTCTATCTCTCTCCCTTCCTCTCTGTAAAAAATCAATAAAATATATTAAAAAAAAAAAAAAAAAAAAAAAATAAAGCTATTGGAATCCTCAGAAGAATACAATTCAAGGACCTAAGTTAGAGAACTAGGTACTCAAATATGGCATACAGGAAGGAGTTGGATAAACAAAGTTCAGTACTGGTGTGTTTTAGTTTTCCATACATTTAAAACATCATATGCTAATATAGTCTATGTTGGGATCTATAATTTCAAAGTTAATAGCTGCATCCTTTCCAAGTAGATGGAAAAAAAACTCATGTATTTTGTTTTCTGTTTTTAGTTATCCTGGCTATTTGGTCAACTGCCCCTGTATATGACTTCTCTTTCTATAGTTTTTCTTCCCCATTTGATAGGGTAACTTATTAATTCATGTCTTAGTACAGATTTCATTTTCTGCTCTTTCAGAATGGGAAGCTTGGGAGGCATGAAGAAGTCTGAGAGTCCACATGGTGGAAATATACAAGAAAATGAGGAAACAACAAGTCACTTTTCTAAAAATACACACTGCCTCAACAGACTTTCTGATGTCCCAAAAAAGTACTGCTTATAGAGTTTTCTCAAAGACTACTGGAACTAGTATTAGCTAATATTTGGTTATATAACAGAGAATGTACAAGACCGTAGAAACCTTTAGTCCTAGCACATGGTCCTCACCTTCAGAATTGGCCGAAACTCTTTTTCTAGAAGTTCCTTTAGCTCATCCTTGCTCAGTGTGCCACATTCCCCATCTTTGTTGGTGTATTTGTAGAAAATATCAATGACGGTGACAACACTTCTTAAGAGGTCGGTCATCTTTTTGCACGTTTAAGTGAACCTAAAGAGAAAAACAAAAGAGTCTATCATTAATTTTCTTTCCTTTTCTGATTTTAATAATCGTCATCATGAGTTTTCAAATCTCTTGTCTCTTTAAAACCTAAAATACCTCAAAGAATAAAGATGGGTCAGGATGATACAAACCCTTTCAACACAGTGAAAAATAACTTTGTTAACATTAGTCATGGACATGTTACTGGCTGAACTGGGACTAAATCTCAGGTCTCCATGTCCTGGATGAATATATTCTTTTCTTAATGTCTCTACACTTTGTGTACTTTGGTGTCCTGGGTGTTGTCCGTGGGTTTCCAAATTTTCTAGAACCGCCCAGACATTTCCCCCCGTTTCTCTTGCTAGTTTCACTGATTTTCTAGAGGCAAAAGCAACAGACCTTCTACCAAAAGCTAAACTGGACCCTTAAGACCTTCAGAAAATAAAATAAAAATGGGCAAAGGGAGCCAATGCTTTCTTGGTTTTCCAGAGGACTGAGATAGCCCTCCTGAGAGCTTAGGAACTATCTTGACCTAATTCATTCATCAGGGAGAAAGGCTCAGAAATGCAGGCAGCAATTTGACTAGTAGATAATTTGATCTGGGAGCTCTGGGAAATGACACTGAACAAGGAAGAGACTCTACCACAGTGCCAGCCTCCCCCCATTTGAACTTGGCAGTGCGGAAAAGATGGCACGTGGAAAGACTAGGAAGAAAGTGTGGAATGGCCTGTAAGAAGACAAACTTCCATTGAATTACTCTTGTTCACAATGACAAATTTATTCTAAAAAGGTCCCAGAATAAATTAAACTAGACAAACAAATAAGCAAATAAAAAGAAAAGAAAAAAATAATATAAATGACAGTGATTAGAAAAAAAGATACATCGGTAGAAAAGGAAAAGAGAAAAAAGAAAGAAAGAAAGGCCAAATATATATTAACTCTGCCTTAGCTCAAATTCTTGGATTTCTGCTGTGGACAATGACCAACCAAATATCCATCAATATAGATGGATAAATTTTCTCTCACCTGGTTCAGCAAAGGAACAAGTAGGAAAAAAGCCTGATGAAGCTTGCAGGGTGACAGTGATTGAGATAGTGGCCCTTATATAGCTAACCATGTGGGTGCTGCCCTCTGTGGGATGGACTGATTAATTTCCAATCAAACCTAACTCCACCTCTGTCCATGTTTACCTTCCTACTTCTTTGCATTCTCATTTATGAGATGATTGCAGAAAGGCTGGTACTGAAGCTCCTTCTAACATGAGGACATGTTGCAGGGCACTTTTTTTTCAGGCCCACACACTTGTGAAAAGCAGATTCTGTTTTTTAGAGGGCTCGTGTAGTTCATCCCCTTTATGTAGTACCACGAGAAAGGTAGCAAACTGTATGGTACTTGGCAGGTATGCAATAAATGCTTATTTAATTAAAATGAACGTAGGTGCTCTGGCCAGGTGACTCAGTTGGTTGGAGAGTCATCCGGTGCACCAAAAAGGTTTCAGGCTTGATTCCCAGTCAGGGCACATACCTAGGTTTCCGGTTTGATCCCCTGTTGGGGCATGTACAGGAGGCAACCAATCAATGTTTCTCTCTTCTATCCATGTTTCTCTCTCTCTCTCTCTTTCTCTCTCTCTCTCTCCCCCCCCTTCTCTCTGTAAAAATCAATAAAAGCATACCCTTGGGTGAGGATTAAAAAAAAGAAAGAAAATGAACGTAGGCCATTAGGGTCACCTAACATGTCTTTTTGCAATAATAATTTACATTTATTTAGACTTTGCTATGTGCAAGATATTATGCTGAAGACTTTTCACATATCATCTCATTTAATCTTCACCACATTTCTGTGAGATATTTATTTTTTCCCATTTTACAAATGAAGAAATAGGTTCAGAGAGTATACGAGTCATCTCCAAGTTCATACAATGAATAGGTGGAGGAACCAGGGTTTGAACCTATATCTACCTTATGACAATGCCCTTGCTCTTAACCTTTATATTAGCTTATCTCTGTGTTTTGATTATATTTGCCCATTATGCAAAAATCATGCTTTGTTTTAGGAGTGTCAGATCCATCCAAACACACACACACAAAAATGAAAAAATAATAAAAAGAATGCTGTCAGCCAGGAAGAGAAGAAACATATTCTCTGGCCCTTTGAAGGCTCTTTTCTAGACTATAAAAGTAGAAGTTAATGAGCTAAATACAGAAGTAATGTTTTCAGACATGTTCAGAGTAAATTTAGAGTGAACTTTCTTCTGGGGCCTTCTTTTATCCATTGGTAGTCTGGCAGCTTTGGACCTGAATGCTTGGGAAAATGCCACTTATATATACATAAAGTATATCAAATATAATGCCTGTGGGAAGCAAACATAGTCAGAAGGCTGTAGTAGGCAGGAAGAACCAGCTTTTCTGTACCTTGCCACCAGGTGTGATGATGATGATGAAGATGATGACTGATGAAGATAGCAGTTATTACTGTCTTCTAGACTAGAAGGTTTTACATGCTTATCTATTTATCCCTCGCAATAACTCTGTAAAATCAGTATTTTCATTCTCATTTTACAAATAAAGAAATGAAAGCATAGAGAAATTTAATAATTCATTCCAAATTACAGCTTGTAAGTGGCCGCTCTAGGATAGAAACCCATGCGGTCTGATGTGAAGGCCCTGCACTTAGCCAGATATATACCACATATGTGGGGTTGATGCATTCCTATCTGGGCACTCCTTCAGGGGAGCCATAATATCATATTCACCCCAAAGCTGGACAGTGCCTGGGACTTAGCAAACACTTAGTGTGTGTTCACAAAATGTTAATGGCCACACCACTGAGCTACACCCATTGCTCTTATAGCCAGCGAGTCCTAGACCAAAGCGACCACACAAAAAGTTTTGTGGTCCCTTGGATGTTATGGTCTTTTTCAGGTGTACTCATTTTTTGGAATTATGCTTGTGTTTGTTGCAATGACTGCCTTTCAGACCCCCGGTCTCCACACTGAGATTTTAAAGCCATCTTTGCCCTGCAACTCCAGGGTTCTAGGTCAGAACTTGGAAACCTGTTCCATGGTTCGACTGCTCACAGAACTCTAGCATTCACTCTTTTGTATTCTTTGTGTCTAGATTTCTCTTCTTCTTCTAACCTGCTTAGCATAATAGACAAAAGTATAAACTTAGGAGTTAGAAAGATTTGAGCTCAAATTCCAGCTGTTTTTTCTGGCCGTATTTCTTGGTCAATTATCTAATCCTCTGAACATGTTTCCCAACTTTTATAATGGGAATAGTAATACTTACATTACTTACGTCACTGGTGGAGATTACTTAAGATAATTTATAAGATTGTTTAGGATCAACTTAGCATAAATGCTTAGTAAACTGTATAATTATTATAAGTTCCTTTAAAAAATTATAAGTTCCTTTGGCATCTAACAGTGTTTTATACATAGGTGCTCAATCATGTTTGATAAAAATAAATTAGGATCCAACAAGAGGCCTTTAAAGGCAAAATACTACTTCTCTGTCAAAATGATTGCTTCAGAAGGTAAATCATGATTCGGGTTTTTTAAAATAACACTTTTTCTGAGATATAATTCACATACCATAAAATTCAATCTATTTTATTGTTATTGATTTTAGAGGGAGGAAGTGAAAGCGAGAGAGAGAGAGAGAGAGAGAGAGAGAGAGAGAGAGAGAGAGAGAGAGAGAAACATTGATGTGATAGAGAAACATCAATAGGTTGCTTCTCCTATGCACCCTGACCGGGATTGAACTCACAGCCTTCCGGTGCATGGGATGATCCAAACACTGTTCAGGGGAAATTGTACCTTTTAAAGTGTGCAGTTTAGTGGTTTTCAGTATAATCACAGAGCTATGCAATTAAGTTATTGTTATTATGGTGCCTGTGTCCTTAAGTAAGTTTCCTCACTTCTCAATGTTCCATTTCCCCCCTATAATAGCTATAAGGTGTTACTAGTGCCAGGGCACAAGTAGACACACGTCAGATCATTTCTGCTGCAATTCTGGAGAACAGTGTGGTTCTACCAGGGCCTGCACACCGTTTGGAAAGGAACCAAAGTGATGGTTTCTAAAGGTCACCTTGATGGCACCCGCAGAGGTTTTCGCCTGCCTGGGTTCTGAGAGGTCGTTTGGCCCAAGAAGCAGAGGCCTGGAGCCCAGAGCTAGTCTCAGCTACACCATTTCTCTGGATGTGGGCCTCGTTCTACTCTTCTCATGATCCTCTGCTCATTCCACATCCACACTGCCCTGGGTTCTCAGGGGTGATCCCACTTGGATTTTAGGCCCAGTTGAGAAAGCTATTGCGCTATTGGCCACTGGATTGTCTTTAGAGGGAAGCTCTGTCTTAGAATGTTAAAAATCACTATAATTATACCTGTGAAAGTCCCAGATTTTGGATTTTCCACTGGATGTCAGCTGAATTTTATTTTCATGTCACATCCTATTCAAGAGAGACCTTCTTCAGCTTAAGGTCTGTGCCTATCATAAGAACCAAACATTCTCTCTGTGCTGGAACCACTATATTGAGGTTTCTCAATGAACTCAACTTAGAGCAGATATGTGAGAGTTGATCCAGGAACACTGGTACATATTAAATCTCTCTTTTCTCTAAAAGCAGCTTAGGAAGCTTCTCTTAGCTCACAGTATGATGAAGTGGGGAGAATGTTGACTTTGCAGGAAGACAGATAGTCTTTGTATCACAGCTCCAACATAACCACCTGTAACACCTGGGGCGAGTTTCTAAATGGGAGTCTCTGTTTCCACACCTGTGCAATGAGGATAATGTTAGATATGTGAGCATTAGATGAGGCAATATTAGAATAATGCTCAGCACATGATAAGGGTTCAGTATATTTTATTTTATTTCCTTCCTATTCTCAAATTTAATCTGATTAAGATAATGTTATCAATAAGTTCTAGGGGTGATGATTCCTAGAGATGATTCTTTTAAAAATATATGTTTTTAAAATTATTTCAGAGA